GTCTTTAAAATAGGCAAGCATAACCCAGTGAGAAATGATTCGTCGATCGATGTCGAAATGATGTCGAATCGACATCGATACCGTCAAATTGACGTCGATTCGACATCGTTTCGACATCGATCGACGAATCATTTCTCACTGGGAATATGGAACGGTCCCAAATGAATAAATAGATTGTTGTATAAAGGTTTTTCTGTGGCTTGGATTTGCATTGCTACTTTTGCAATTGCTAAGTCATATGTTATTTCAATGTAAGGTTGATTTAATTCCATCGCTATTTGTTGACTTTGTTTCAAGGTTTCTATTACAACTGATACATTAGTAGGCGATATGTTAATTTGTGTAAGGTAACAAATTTTTTTTGTTTTGAAGAATTTATACCTTTTTTAAATCGGCTATTAAATCCAACCCACATTGGAGTTTCTGAAACTTTTAGTGCATGGGACAGCATCCAAAGAGCATCCAATTTTTTAATTAGTTGTAAATTTTCTGGAATAGATTGGTGTTGATCACCCTCATTTGGCAGTAAAACTTCTTCCATTCTAGCTCTCTTGTTGTATGAAGTTAGTTCTGGAGTTATAGTATCAAACGTTCGTCTTCTTTTCGATCCACTTGCAATACTAACTTCAAAACTTTCTGGTGCATATTCTTGTACACATATATTCTGGTATATAATGCCAACAGTATCGTGTAATGTGTCTTTCCCACTGGTAGTGTCAACATATCTGTCAAAATTATCAAAAGCTACCCCAGTAAATAAATCAGGGGACAAAGAAATACCTTCAGGACATATAGTTCCTCGATTAATCGACGAAAAAGTAACTTCTGTTTCTCCTAGCTCCTCTATAACGTTATAACTACAGCAATGACCATACCTATTAGTTATGTCGATGATTTTACGGCTACTTGTCAAACTTTTCAAAGTCATTCCTAGTGTTATATGTTTTCTAGTTTTAATTTTACCATTTTTAACAGCGTAAATCAAATCTTCAGACAGTGATTTAATTTTTCTCTGACAATTAATGTTAGTTCTACGTCGACGTTGGAAACCACCCAATAATGTCGTATAAAAATCAGTTATTTCTTGCGGTATTGAGCATTCTCCTCTCAATAAGTCAGTAGTCTTCAAAATTGTTGGCAATGCAGTCTTTCTTATGTTTAGGATTTGTCGTCGTAAAATTAAAGCGGCATTCTGAAGAATATCTTTGTCTTTTAAGAGTGAAAATAGACCATCATCTATTGTGTGATTTATCGGCATAACTATTTTTTTATTGTGCATAGTCATTATTTTAATCTCATTTTCATACTTTCTAATTATTTTGTTTTGTAAGTGTTGTTCATTAAAAGTAATACTGTATTCGTCATCGTGTCCTGCAAATTTTGTCATCGCAGCCATATAATAATTATTTAAATAACTCCATAAATAGCAATGCTCTTTTGCTAGTACATTTTCCTCTATAAAGCTACATATTTCCTCGAAGGCTTTTTCATGACAATTTCTACTTATATGATAACTTGTTTGCAGTCTTTTGGTGGCAATTGCTTTTAATTTATTAAAGAAATCAACGCGACAGATTTTGTGGTAATGAATTTCATTTGGTGAAGTTCCTAGGTTTTTTAAAACTTCAGAATCTTTAAGAAACTCGGAATATTTATGTAGGTTTTCCTTGAGGATTTCTTTTTGTCCAGTTTGTAACGGCTGCAATCGTCCTTTGTGTTTTTTTATATCTTTTTTGGCAAAAATAACATGGTGTTTCATTTTTCTTGAAACTTTGTGCTTCTTCTAATGTCTCATCCGCGGATACATATTGTTCTTTGTAGGTTGATACTTCACATGGATAATATTTGCATCAGGCGTCACTATCTCGCATGGGATTGCATTTTGTTGAGATGTATCTTCAACAGGGCGCACAATATCTGTAATAAAAACTTAAAAATAAAATATCACGAATGAACACATGTTAAGAGTTACATCACTGCCTTTTTTACTATTTAATATATTTTAAATGTGTTTTAATACTTGGTTCAAATGAAGATACGTCGGATGATGTTGATGCTTCTTCTTCATCGTAATATTTTTTCTTTAGGGCAATATAATTCTTATAACATGATACATGATAACCCTCTGTAACATTCACACTGGTAGGTAAAACAACGTCTTCATATTTTAGGCCAAAATTTTTACGAATTTTTGATATTTTACAGCTTTTTGTTAAAGTTTCATTAGTGAATATAATGACTTTCATGTCACGAGTGTTTTTTCTACAGATGACACAGACTAAATTGCTTGTTGCCATATTTTATTAATTAAGTACCTATTAAAAAAAATACACATTGGACGTAATTAGTAATAGAAATAATTGTAATTAATAAAAAACAAAAGTATATAAAAGACACTAATAATTAATATTGTAAATATAAGCGATATAAATCAATACGAAATAAAAAAGTCAACGATCCGAACAGGAGATGTACATAGATAGTCTAATGGTTTATTGTGTGAATTTTTATGTTATTCATGTACCATTTCCAACACATTCCTATGCACTAAGCAATGTCGGTCTTAAACTACAGTTTCTTTGGTGGAACAATAAAATTTACATACTTTTAAGCATTTTGTCTTCCCCATCACTGTAAAGAATTCTTACTGCAAAGAATATTACCTCAGATAGGATTGAAATCTGGATCTCTCATGCTAGGCGGGTGTCTCACTAATTTGATACACATAAGCGGTATAACTTTCAAGAAACAGTGAAAAATAATATAAAAGATGTTAAATCTGCTATTTCAGAATAAGTTTTAGAATAACGAAACGTGCTTGTCCACTGTTTCAAAACTTTTAACTTCTAACTAGCTCTAATTTTCTAGCGGTCGGACTTTGTTTTGATAAAGGTTCATAAAAAACAGGAAAATATTCGGAAAGACGAATTTTAATAAACAGTATGGTAAATATAGGTTCGTGCAAACGTTTTTCTGGAAGTAAATATAAATGAATAAACATTTACACGTATATTTAAGAGATAAAATAAAATCAGAACCCTACTATACAGGGTGTCTGATGCAAAAGT